CCCTCAGTCTATTTTAGTTATCTGCCTAGTGACCCTTCCTTCAGCCATTCTGATTTCTCTCTTTATCTTCTCTCCCACTTATACCTTATTCTCTATTCTTGCTTCTTATCCACTAGCCTATTTTCCTAGGAATCCTCCCCCTTTTCTGTAAATCTCTCAGTCTCTTCACATCCCTCACAAAGACTTCATGGTTTATCAACATCCTAATGACTGATGTCAAACTGAGCAGTTACAATGTGATGGAATATTCTGTGACCTCAAAGCAGTTTAGCAAGGTTATTTGGAGGGGGGGGAGAATGTCAGCCAAAAATGTGGCAGTCTACATTTTAGCCTATGTGATAAGACTATAATCTTCCATTCCATTCAAATTTAAACTGTTTGCTTCAATTCCCCAGAAGAAGCAAAACTTAGCAATGACAACAATATATTGCTTGTATGTTCTTTGAGGTTTCCAGAAGCAATTACCCATAAGGTCATCTATTTTTCTTTCACATCAAGTGGTTCACCGTTTGCAAAGACTTTAATATCACAAGGTGCATTCTGAAAAGTCTAAAAGTCAATCTTAATCCTACCAAAATGTATAATCATAATCTTGAGTTGTAAAGTTAAAGAATTTGCATCACCTATAATGAGAACGTATCTTTCATGCACACAATACACAGCATCAAATTCCCATCACAGGTATTTCTCTTGGGACTGGATGGTGAGTGAATTTTAAAGAGGTGTGATTGAATCCTAGGTTGGAAATGAATTCCAATGTCAACATGTTTTTGCCACTGCATCTTCTCTTGCAGTCTATAAAAATAAAAACTGAAGTATAGTTGGAACACAGTCTGGGCATAATGGCTAACAAGCGGAACAAGGATAGATGTCTATGAATTCAAAACATACACATTTATTTTGGTCATTAACTGTAGATGGTGTTTTCAAAAGGAACTCTGAAGTTCATCCTGCAAGGGCAACTTTGGTATACTTCCTACAGGTAGTCCTTGAGCTCAAAATTTCTGTTGCTAAGCGACCTTTCTTGCCACAGTTGTTAAGTGAATCACTGCAGTTGTTAAATCAGCAATACCGTTGTTAAGTGAATCTGACTTCCTCGTTGACTTTACTTCTCAGAAGGTCGCAAAAGGAGATCACATGACCCCCCAGGACACGGCAACCATCATAAATACAGGCTAGTTGCCAAGCATCTGAATTTTGATCCCGTGACCATGGGGATGATACAACCGTTCTAAGTGTGAAAAACAGTCATAAACCAGGGCTGTTGTAAGTTCAAACAGTCACTAAACAAATGGTTGTAAGTTGAGGACTACCTGCACTGTACTTTCTGTCATTCATACGTTGAACACGATCTTATGATAAGAGCACACTGAACTCTGCACACTGAACTTTTAGCTATGGGACTGGCTAAATGAAGTCAGGGATTGCCAGCAATAACACATTTCTTAAAAAGCAGATGGTGTTAATTAGAAGTTTAACACAAAACCATAATAATGACACAGGCATCTGCTTTTAATAGGGGGTAATGTGTAATAGTAGCAGAGTAGATATCTCTAAATTTATAATTACCAAAAATTTGTCTTAATGTTATAATTGCATCTGTCAATGATGACATGAAATAAGAATAGTATACTATCCAAGAAAGCTGGATAATTCTAATTCTAAAGCTGGATTAATTCTAAATTATCCTGCCCTTCCTACAGATGCACATCATTTCTGCACCTTGAAAATATTTAAATAAGCTGAATTTACTTAGCGTAATTTGCTTCACAAATTCACATATTTTATCCCCGCCGAAGCTACAAGATTCCCTTCATCCCAGACACATAGCATTCAACACAAGACAGGTGTCCTCCCCTGATTTTTCGAAACAATCAGAATATCAAGTACTGTTCTTTAATTTTTATGAAAATCGCAGCTCTGTTTAATTGTTATCCATTTGCAGAAGTTTCTGTAATTCTGATTTATCTATGGATAGAAACTGACCCTCCCTGCAGCCCCAACTAGTATGGGGTTAGGGGAAACCACACAACAGGGAATTGCTAAATGTACAACTCTCTTATTTATGTGATGGCTTTTTAGAGAGTAATGGCTGGTTAAGGTTTGTGCACAGTTATATTTCCATGGCTCATACCCTTAAGCGGAATACTATCTTCAAATGTTGGGTTATGCTTCTACATTGGCCCTCTCTGCTCTGAGCTTTGCTTTCCACTTAAGAGATGTGCTTAGAAAATTTCAAAGTGGTAAACAGTCGCACAATTGCCATAGCTACTATGGCAGTCAAAACCACATTGTTAAATTCGATGGACATGAGCATATGGATAATCCCAACTGCCTATTTGTGCTCTAGAGAGCATTCCAGAATGAGCTGAGGTAAATATTTCAAACTATTTCAGAAGTGTAAATGAGCAAAATGATATCCTGGTGCCTTAAAGGTCTTTAGCATACAGGTAGTCCTTGAATTATGACCATAATTGAGCCCAAAATTTCTGTTCTTAAGTCAGATATTTGTTAAGTGAGTTTTGCCCCAATTTACGACCTTTCTTGCCACAGTTGTTAAGTGAATCACTGCAGAAGATAAATTAGTAACACAGCTGTTAAGTGAATCTGGCTTCCCCATTGACTTTGCTTGTTCAAAGGTCGCAAAGGGGAATCACGTGATTCTGGGACACTGCAACTGTCATAAATATGAGTCAGCTGTCAAGCATCCAAATGGAAATCACATGATCATGGGGCTGCTACAAAGTTCGTAAGTGTGAAAAATGGTTTTTTCAGTGCCATTGTAACTTTGAATGGTCATTAAATGAACCGTTGTAAGTAGAGGACTACCTATATTAGAAACTATGACTTAATATTTTGAATTGCCCCCTCCCAAATTAGACCAATTTTGCTCATTGGGTAGGAGATGTAAGGGGCATACAGTTATTTTTTAAATCAATCCATACAAGCCATAGTGCCTTACATTTAATGCAAAACAGAAGGCATCAATAGAGACAATATATTAAACAGCCATGGATAACATCTATAGGGATAACATCTATAGATAACTATAGGGATTATTGAATTAATCACTCATCTTCAAGATCAAACATTATTGTTTAACGCTAACATAACGGTTAAACATTAATCTTTCTATTGTTTTTATTTCTTTGGTTTTCTGTACTGATGTTTTAAACCTTGTTATGAGATTTTCAGAATTAGTTGGATGAATATGTAGCTTTATTTGACTAATTAATTAATTAATTAATTAATTAAATAAATAAATAAATGGACAATGAAACAATTCTTTTTTAAGGGTATTTTTTTTTAAAAAAAAAAAAACTTTTCCCATGTAATCCACAGATTGTCTGGTTGTCTCCCATTCAAGTGGTGACCACATCCAAACCTGCTTAGCATTTTAAGAACGGCCAAAGTTGGCAAGACGTAGCTGTTCACACTCTATGTGTATGAATTCTCACCATTCCAAGAAAAGGAATCGGAGTAACTCAGTGGTTTTCAACCTTTTCTTCACCATGGACCCCCCCCCCTTTAAATACATTTTGCAGTCACAGACCATAGTCACAGACCACCGAGAGTTAACTCAAGATTAAAATCATAACATTTCTTCAAGCCTTCAGGGACATTGCTGCCCATCAGGGGTCTACTGACCACAAGTTGAGAACTAATGGCATAACTCATTTCACAACCTCCTTTCTTCCTGTACAGTATTGTGGAAAGTGGTTTCATTTTTTTCCCCCACAAAAATCCATCATGGCAAAGATCAGAAATGCCAGTTTACCGAACGAATGTGCATTGCTTTCGCTGATTAACTGAAATCAAGTTTTCCTTGATGGCAGAAAAGAACATGAGCTGTGGTTCAAAAGTCCAAAGTTGCTTAGGTAGACTCCTCAGTTTCACCCAAATAATCTTAGATTTATAGCACAGAGACAAATTTCTCAAAGCAATGCATTTCTCCCATGGAAAAGGTCTTGTGGGGATAATATTGTCTCCGATGTTCAATATTATACACCTGATTCAGGACCCAGCCCTTAAAGTGTGTCCATGCTGCAAATCTGCTGTAATGTTCTCAGCATTCTTCAAAGCCAATTGGCTTCTTTGGACAGGGGAGGCATAATGGGAATGCATATTTTATGACGTCATTGCCCTCTGCAACTTGCATCTGAAGTCATGATCAACAGGTGCTGTATATAACTGCAACATTTGATGATGACATCTTCCAGTGTATTTTATTAAAGGTAAAGGTTTCCCTGTCAGTCGTGTCTGACTCTGTTTTTGACCAGGGTCTCCAACCTGGGCTGTCAGCTCTCCAGCCCACAGGCTCAGAATCTTTAACCCCTGAGCCATTGCACTTCAACATTACTTCAACATTATTATGGTTTGCTATCAGTGCCGCTGCCAAAGCCTTGTGCTTGGACCCAAATTTAACTAAAGCCCTCCCATCTTTTCCATCATTTCAAAGCTGATTTATTTCCCTAAGAGGCAAGAGCATAAGGCAACTTGTTTTTATCTCTTTATAGATGGACAGAGAACATGCCAACTGCTTGAGATTGCAACAGCTGTTCAGGAAAGGATTTTTTTTTTTTCCCCTATTCAGGTAATCAGTGTAAACTGTTTACAAGAGAACAATATCTCCTCTCCCCACAATTCTGGAGAACATTTCTTCCACTTTTTGGTTCTGTTTTGTGATTTTTTGGGGGGGGGAGGGTGGAGAGGTTGAGTCACGAGAAAAAGAAAATCATGAACATTTGATATCCACAGTCTCACCAATTCATTCCAGGAGATTGTCTGACACAGACATTACCACGAACTGCTTCAAAGTCTTAACAATAATTCATCTTTCTTTATGTGTGACTTGGTAACCTTTTTTGTCTCTTTCGCTCTCATCACAACGCATTGCCAAACAGCTTCATCAATTATCTATGGCTAAAAAGTGGACTCTAACATTTGGAGAGTGTTGTTAATTGGCCTCTGTAGTGCCTAATGAGTTTGAACGCGCCTACCTGTGAGTCCCCGAGAGGGATGGCTAGTTGCGGACAACAATTTACAGCACACCATTAACACATATGCCAGGAACAGCCACTGAGACGGAAGCATTGATTTGGCACAGGAGCTCATCCTGCAGAAACGGGAGGCAGAAAAGGAGGGGGAAAAGGAAGCCACTGAGAATGAGAGAACAATAATAATTTGGGAACGGTTCAAAATACAAGGCAAAAGCTACAAAGGAGGGGAGGAGTTAATGCAGACTGGAAATTAAATGAAAAGGATTAATAAAAGCATAATACTTAAGGGGGCAGAATCCCATTCACACCTAAACTGACGTCAATTCTTAATCAGCCGTGCCTTACAAGAAAAGATGCAGAACAGCACATCGTTTATTTCCAATATCTCTCTCTGGAGATGCTCTTTGTCTGATTCCATTACGAGGCTGAGACGCTGAGCTTTGATTCATCACCAGACTTTTCAAGACATTCAGCGCATCACCAAATAACCTCCAAAGGAGGCGATTTTGAGGAGGAGCCTATTCCAAGAAGGCTTCAAAATACAGACAGTCCTCGACTTATGATCATAATTGAGTCAAAAATTTATGTTGCCAAGTGAGACATTTGTTGATTTAGCTTTGCCCCATTTTACAATTTGTCTTACCACAGTTGTTAAGTGAACCACTGCAATTGTTAAGTTAATAACCCGGTTGTTAAGTGAACCTGGCTTCCCCCACTGACTTTGCTTGCCAGAAGGTGGCAATAGGTGTTCACACATGATCTGGGGACATTGCAACGTCATAAATGTGAACCAGTTGCCAAGCATCCAAATCACGCGGCCATGAGGATGCTGCAATGGCCATAAGTGTGAAAAATGGTTATAAGTTGCTTTTTTCATTAACGTTGTAACTTCTAACGGTCACTAAATGAACTGTTGTAAGTTGAGGACTACTTGTACTGACATTTTGGGGGTGGGGGGGGAAAATGGACCTTTTCTTTTTTCCACTTATAAAGCAGTTTTAGAAAATGATGGGGATGATGCCCACTGATGCAGGAAAATAAACCAAATCTGGGCACTAGAAATAATCCTGTCAGCTAGAAGACATGACAATGAACAATTGTCTGAATTCTGATAAACAGAATTTTGTTTTGTACCCATCCACAGTTGTTTTGGGAATTGGCAAAACTCAACAAGAGGCGGAAATTTTTGAGAGAACACTTACAGTGTACTTTCAAAATTCCAAAGGGACCAATCCAAAAACTTTACTAGCCTGTGGTACATTCTCAAACAAAAATGGGAGGGAGGGAGGGAGGGAGGGAGGGTGGTTCATAGAAAAAAAGAGCAGCAAAATTTAGAATGTTTTGAATCTCTTCATTTCTACCTATTGATTGCTTAGACCAGGGGTAGGCAACCTTGGCTCTTTTATGACTCGTGGCTCAGGAATTCTGGGAGTTGAAGTCCACGAGTCATAAAAGAGCCAAGGTTGCCTACCCCTGGCTTAGACTGTTGCAGCCAAAATCAAAAATTAATGAGCAACAATTAATTAAAAGTTGTTCTATGTCTGGATTAAAGTTTTTTCCTGGTTATTGTTAATTAAACAGTGCTTTTATAGTGAAACAGTGTAATCAGGCAGTATAGATTCTATTGTCATAAAATATAATTTATTAGTATCTAGCATTCATACACAACAGTATTTAAGAATTTGACTATATCAGTGTTTTTCAAACTTGGCAACTTAAAGATGTGCAGACTTCAATTCTGAGAATTCCCAAAGCTGGCTGGGGAATTTCGATAGTTGACGTCCCCATGTCTTAAAGTTACCAAGTTTGAAAAATATTAGGCTAAATGATCCACAAACTCCTTCCTATCAAAAATTTTATGATTTAAAGGAATACTGAGCAAAAATCAAGTAGAAACCGATTTGAAAGCCTCCTCCCATCATAATCAGGCACAAAAAGTGTACAAGGGAAATGTATATATCAGTGGTGGCGAACCTATGGCACGCGTGCCAGAGGCGGCACTCAGAGCCCTCTCTGTGGGCACGTGTACTGTTGCCCCAGCCCCACCTCCCCATGGCCCCCTTCTCATCAGCAGCCCCCCTGGAGGAGAGTCGCCCTTGAGCATGGTCCACATGGAGCACTGCAGCCGAGGACATGGCAGCTGGGCAGCGGGGACAAGACTCCCCCCTCATGCCCTGTCACTCGCAGATGATGCTGTGGGGTACGGGCGGAGGGCGTGGCTGCCACAGCGCTGCTGGGCCGCCTGGGCGATCTACTGTGGTGGGCTGTGGAGGCGATGGGTGGCCTTGCAGGGGAGCAGGGTAGAGTGGGTGGGGCGCAGAGGTGGGCGGGCGGGGAGGCAGGAGTGGTTTTGGGGCACTCAGTCTCTAAAAGGTTCACCATCACTGGTATATATAACAACAGATAGAAGTTTCCTATTTAAATACGATATTCAGAAAAATTGATAAAAATGAGATTTAGACTTTTAGGTCACCCAGAGTCACTTTGTAGGAAAGATGGGCAGCGTAAAAATTTAACAACAACAACAATAACTGAACAATTTGGATTACATTTTTAGAAGAGATATTGTAAGGAAGGACTTCACTAGATGCTGCAACCTGCCTCTCTCCCTCTCCTCAAACCAACCCCGCTCACTTCCTGCCTCTCCATTCTCTGGCAGAGCCAACCTGGGCAAACTCTCCTGGGAAGAATACCCAAACAAACAAGGTTGTGAACAGAAGTGAGCACTAGGCTCACATGCAATCTCCCAATTTTTTAGGTCTTCTTTGACCATGATAGCCAAAAAAAAAAAAAAGTATTAGCCATAAAGTTATTAGCCCTAAAATAACACTAGCATAATTTTTTTTTTAAAAAAAAAAAAAAAAGGTGCACAACACCCCTCCCCAAATACCCAGGCTCACTTGATCTTCTATACTTTCATCCACATAAATTGTGGCCCTACTAAAGGTTGCAGGCTCAGGAATTCTGGGAGTTGAAGTACACAGGCCATAAAAGGTCTATAGTTGCCCACCCCTGCTTTAGAACAAGGTCCCCCAAAGTGGTCAATAAATGGATGGGGGCCAAGGGGTTAGTAAGTCTGACTGTCAATAAGTGGTTGATAATGATGGGAGATATAAACCTTTCAAAAATTTTTTGTAAGGATGGAAAGGTGATTGGGGTCAATTAATCTTTTGGGCCTCTGTAGAATTCCATCCCAGTCCCTATTCTGAATAGAATAGAATAGAATAGAATAGAATAGAATAGAATAGAATAGAATAGAATAGAATAGAATAACTTTATTGTCACTTTGAATATACACTAATCAGCATACATTAAAATGAAATTTCACAGCATTCAGCTCTCAAAGGGTCACCACCTCCAATATACACTACATAAATATGAATGAATAAATAAATAAATAAATAAGTAAATAAATAAATACAGAATTATGCATATACCCACATATATTATATGATACAGAGAAACAACACAGGTAGCTACTGATAAGACAGTTTTACTCAGCATTAGAGGGTCGGTCAGCAGTGAGAGTGGGCTTCAGTTCTCATTATTATTATTCATAGTACTGTTAGTTAAACAGTATTTATTAAATTATTGTCATATAATAAATGTTTGAGGGTTAATGAAATGTTACGAGGGGGACAATGAGTTTGGAGACATCTGCTTTAGAAGGAGGCAAATACTTCAAGGAACTTTATTATGCTTACATTATTATCAAAGATTTCAGAAATCTCAGGATCTATTTAAAGGATAGGAGGTACTTCTTACCTTAATAGTTTTTCCAGGTTTTTATTGCAGGTGAGCAATCTTAGCAGCAAGTACCTTCTGCCAGAAATGCAGATTCCCATTTGTAAATATATCCGAGCATTTCTGCACCCAAATTTTCCTACACATCTAAAGCCTAGAGAAGAAACAGGATTGGAAAAATACTGTATTATTATTTTTTATTATTATTAAAAAGTTTTATAAAAATTACAATATAACCCACCCAACCCCCCCTCCCCCACTTCCCATAGCTGAGTACAGGGTTACAAATATGATAATCATAATCTAACTAACATTAACCAACTATATAAATAACCAAGTCCATAATGCACTTTAACTCCCCTTTAACATAAATATAAACAAATTGAAAATAAACATAATAATGAAAACATAAACAAGTTAATATCCTAATTATTAAACAATACAATCTCCAAATTATTAAACAATACTACTACTACTAATAATAATAATAATAATAATAATATCATAATAATACTCTAAAATTCACTCATAGGCTAAATAAAACTTTTTAGTCCCATATTTATTCTGAATATAATTTATCCATCTTCTCCAAACTGAAATGTATCTTTATTGTGAATGATCCTTCAAGTAAGCAGAAATCTTAGCCATTTCTGCTAAGTTTGACACTTTAAGTGTCCATTCTTCTATAGTAGGCAAGCAATCCTTCTTCCAATATTGCCCTACTAGTAACCTTGCAGCTGTTATCAAATTCAACATCAGATTAATTTCTTTAGCATCACAATCTGTAATAACACCCAATAAAAATAATTGTGGGATAAACTTTATCTTTCTCTTGAAAATCTGTTGAATGTTCCACCAAATCTTAATCCAAAAGGCTTTTATATTTCTACAAGTCCACCATATATGAAAATAAGTGGCATCCAAACTACCACATCTCCAACATTTGGGGTGTAAATTAGGATACATACAAGACAACTTTTTTTTTATTAAAAAAGTTTTTATTTTCCATTTATTCATACAAAATACAATTAAATTCCTAACTATTGGTACCACCTGCCCATTCCCTCCAGGCTGCGTCCACTCTCTCTAATCCTTCCCCATTTCCCTCCTCTTTCTCTCCTCCCCTCCTACTATCTTCCCCTCCCCTTCTCCTCTAACCATCCTACTTCCTTCCTACTCCTTCCTCCCCTCTCATCCCTCTCACACACATGAACGCAGCATAGGGGAAATGCCCAAGCGTTTACCATGCATACAAGACAACTTTTTAGGATCCAGATGCCATCTATAAAACATTTTATAAAAATTTTCTCTTAAATTTTGTGCCTGGGTAAATTTTACATTTCTAATCCAAATTACTTCTCATGTATCCAATGGAATGGTTCTTGAATATTTTGAGCCCATTTTACCATACAATCTTTAACTAATTCCATTTCCAAATGCATTTCTATTAAAACATTACAAATTCTCTTTATATGTGCTCAGTTTTGATCTTTAATCTGTTTTACCAAATTCTCGTCCATTAAAGTAATACCAACCTTTTGATCTAACTTCCACCTAACCAACAATTGATTATACTGAAACCAAGACTGTACAATATTTTCTTGCTTTAACTCAACTAATGATTTTAAATGTCAATCATTCCCTACCAATCTAAGTAATTCCTTATAAGAAATCCTATCCAAATTCACACTCACAGATACCCCCTCTATCGCATGTCCAGGAATCCCCCAAATTGGTATTTTATAATTTAACCTATAATAATATTTCTTCCAGACACGCAATAAAGCACTTCTTAAAATATGGGATTTAAAAACCTGATCCACTTTTTATCATAAATTAAATATGCATGCCATCCATATAGTAAATCCCATCCCTCAAGAAAAAGTATATTTTTATTTGTTAAATTAAGCCAGTCACTAATCAATGTTAAAGCCACCGCATCATAATATAATTTCAGATTGGGCGCCTTAAGTCCACCTCTTTCCCGTACATCTTGTATAACCTTAAACTTAACTCTTGGTTTTTTGCCTGCCCAAATAAATTTATTAATACCTTTCTGCCATTCATCCAAATTGGCATCTTTTTTCAAAATAGGTATTATTTGAAACAAAAAAAGAAACTTTGGAAGAACATTCATTTTAACCACTGAAATTCTCCCCAGCAAAGATAACTGTAGTTTTTTCCAATCATTTAAATCCTTTTGCACTTTTACCCATAATGTCTCATAATTATTTTTGTACAATTTAACATTAGAAGCTGTAATGTATACTCCCAAATATAATACTGTATTATTATTGAGGATACGAATTGGTTTAAGTTAGATTTTTTTTTTTTAATTAAAGCCACTGTTACACAGCAGCCTACCAAAGAAAGGTATAACAATCTCTTCAACATTATTCACATGATTCTTCCAGATCTAGGTATGAACTAAGGTGTTTAGGAATAGTAATCACAACATGGTGGTGATACATCTTCCAGATCCTCCTAGCAATTAAAAATGAAATTACTCTAAATTCGCAATATTTCAACGTCTTGCCAAACTTGAGGAACTTTTCAGATCTTAGATGAGAATACTGACATCTCTATAACTGAGTTTTATATCAACAGTGGGATCTGCAGGAGGTCAACACCGGTGGATGAGGCAAGTATTATAATCCAAACCACACCCTTTTGTACATGTTGCACACATATACAAAACAGGAAGAGCTTAGATGTCCATGCACACTAGAATTCATCCATGCAATCCCCTTGTCCTGTTAACCAAGTCTTAAATATTTTTTGAAACCTAGCAAAACTCTGTCTATAGAAATGAACATTTAGAGATGTTAACCCTACTGTTATTTATATTTTAACTATAATAAAATAGAAGTACAATATATTACACAAGAGTATAAAAGGTTGTTGTTAGTAGGGCAATGTTGGAAGAAGGAATCTTTGCCTACCTTGCAAGAGTGGTTTTTTAAAGTTTCTTATTTGGCGGAAATGGCAAAGATTTCGGCTTTCTTGAAAGACCAATCGCAAGAGAAGTATTTTTTGGTATGGAAAAAATGAATAGACTTTATACAATATAAGTTGGATATAAAAAAATATTATTTAGCTTTTCAATAACTTATACTTAAAATTTAAGATATTTTATAGACTTTTTTCCTTTTTCTTTCTTCCTATTTTCTTCTATTTCCTTGTATTTTTGTTTTTTTTATACATATATTATTGTTAACTAGTTTACAATTTGTTTAATTAATGTATTTAGATTTGTTTATGGTTTACATCTGTTTTAAGACTTTTTGAAAAAATATTAATTAAGCCTGTATTCAGCTCTGGGAAGGTCGGGGGAGGGCATGGGAGGGTTGGGGGGGTTCGGGGAAGGGAACCGTATTGTTTTGTAAAATTTAAAAACTTTCAATAAAAAAAAGGTGAAAAAAAAGAGTATAAAAGGTTGTGTTATTATTATATACACAAAAATCACAGCTGCCAGTTCTTTAGCTGATGTTAGCCTTCATATGCATCAAATTCTTCCCAAGAACCTAGGATATTGCAATGTAGCAGTGTAGTTATATGTGCAGATCTCAGCAGAGTGGTCTTTTGTAATTGAGAGATGGAAATTTTGTCAATGTGCATATTATGATGGTGATGATGATGATTAGGTTTGGCACACAGTAAACCAGATGTTTAGACTGGATCTGGCATTTTTATATACTTACTAGCTGTACCCAGCCACGCGTTGCTGTGGCTCAGTCTGATTAAATGGAAAAGAAAGAAAAGAGAAAGCACACGTTTGTAATATGTTTAATTTCACAATGCTTGTGGGTATACAATATTTTTTGTTGTTCCATTGTCTATGCAGATATAGAGATTGTCTGAAATCATAGCGTGTGTTGCTTTTACGTCCAACAGATGGCGCTGTTTTTCACAAAAAGCATGTTTTTACCTGTCACAGGTGTGACACCTATATAATATAGGTTTATAAAAACACGGGCATATTCGAATGCAACGTTGTGTCAAAATTTCAAAGCAATCGGTGAAGACCTTTTGGAGATTTAAGATTTTGAACAAACGAACATTTACATTTTTATTTATATAGAAAATTAATCCTTCCCAAGGACCTGGGATAAGCAGATATTGTTTAGTAAGATTAAAAGTATTGTTACAGGATGTAGGTTGTTCTGAGTAAAGCTGTCTTTTGCAATTGACTGATGGTGATTTTCTCAATGCTGATGCTGTTCAAGTGATGTTTTGGGATTGCACTCAAGGCGCCTAACACTATTGGAACTTTCCTTTGCCTCAGTCATTCAACCAGATGAATTTCTAGGCTGTCAAATCTTTTCAGAATTATTAGTTTTGCTATTCTGCTGCCTGGTTACAGTAAAGACTTACATAGATTATTGCTCCTGCAGGATTCTTCAATCCATGTGTCTTTTTCAAGTTAAACTTCTTTGAATGCCCAACTGATCATGTGCTCTTCCGTAATCGAAGGGGCATTTCCAGAAGTACTGATGTTTCTTCATTGTGTCTCCACAAAGAAAAGAATTAGGTTTTTAATCACCCATTATGCTTAAGTCATAAAGACATACTAAGCCAGTGGTTCTCAACCTTTTTAATGCCACGACCCCCAACCGGTCGTAAGTCGAGGACTACTCAACTGGTGCAGCACTGTTTGCAGAATGGGACTTTTGGCGGGCTCAGCAGGGCAGAAACAGCCTGGACAATTCCTATTGACTTTTGAAAGCCAATAGAATTAGACTCTATTCAAGAGAGTCTATTCTATTGGCTTTCAAAAGCCAATAGAATAAAAGGGAGTGGCACAGCTAAGGAAAGGGGGGGGAAATGGCGGACTGCATTGTTTGGCAACCCCCGTGAAATGGTCGTTCGACCCCAAATGGGGTCCCGACCCACAGGTTGAGAACCACTGTACTAAGCTGTGTTGGAGCCATTTAAGATGCAATTTGAAGCAATACTCCACTTAGATCATAGCAGCCATTTCACTTCAGTTTGAATGTTTCTTTGCACATGTGTCATTTAGACACAGAAACCAGTTGCTTCTAAGCAAAGTGGTTGTGTGAGGTGGACTAGCTCTGACTCAACTTTCAGTGCACCCCCTTCCAGCACTTCAAGCGCTGAAGTCAATTAACAGCAGGGTTTTTTGCATAGGCCAAT